TTTTTTTTTTTTTTTTTTTTGGGCTCAACATGTCTCCCTCCTGAGATATAGAAATATGCTACTTAACCTTGTAATGCTGAGTTTTCAATTCCTCAGGAAGTGTTACTCCGGGAAACAAGACGTACAAAAGGGGATCCAAAACTTTTGGCTGCTCAGTCAGAGGAGCAGTATCTTAAGGTACTTGTTTTGTATTTACTCCACATAAGTCATACTCTTTATTGAGATCTGTTGACTTTGTACAAGTTCACACTTTTAAATTATTTGTTTTTCTTTCCACGGCAGTTGAAGGACAAATTGCAGTTCCTCACCCTTGGGATTGGTGGAGTTGGCATACTTTCAGCATATGTGTCTTATTCTCCTGAAATTGCAGCAAGGTAAACTAGTCGACTTTCTATAGGTTCTGGTTCTTTTCAAGCTCTTCTGAATTAATGTATGGTCTGACTAAAATGATGTTGTAGTTTGACCTAACCCCCTATCCGTTAAGCTAGCTTTGCTTAAGTTAGTATATCAGTATATTGGTCCATTGAGGTTTCTAATTTTTGTAGTATTTGTGAATGAAGGAAATCTTGATGTTGTTACCGAACAAATAGCAAATTTATACTATGAAATGACTAAATCATCTCATATTCGGTGCATATCCTTTATCAACCCAGGACTGTTTTATTTCTGTGTTGCTTATTGATCACGCCCAACTATGCCTTATAAAAAGGACAATGCGGTCGTTGTAAATATAATCCGGTTTACAAGTCCGGAGTCGAATCCCACAGAGAACTAAGGTTTAGCTACAGCTGGTCACTATCACCAAGAAGACCAGCTTGAACAATTCCTAACTTATAGATATTAAGATTCTTGTGTTTAACTAATTAACTAATAAATTAAAATAGTAAATTAACAACTAACGATACTGAGGGTTAGAGAAAAGATTAAGGAGGTCTAGAGTTATGATTTCCCCTATTGTCGGAATCCTTCCCGATATGTCTTCTATAATTTCGCCTAAGTATTCTCTACTGATCATGAGCACTCTTATTACCGTAAATCTCTCCCGAGTAATTACGACAATTTACTAGACGCGCTCTTCCGAGCTACGCTAGCTGGCTTTTAATACAGCTCACTTCAGATCGCACCCAAGGCTTCGTTATCCCTAATCCCGCCTTTAAACCCTCGGTTATTGATCCCTCATATACTCTGGGAGTGGTGGTGTTCAACAATTACCTAAATATGCACTCTCTCCCGAGTTATGCATACTAAATAGGCACATCTAATTGAGAGCTCTTCAATCAACCAGAATATAAACGTAGTTGAACAAATAGAGAAAAGCTATGGCTCAATTATATAAAAACATAACAAGAATTTATCCTACAAAAGATTCTATCAAACTCTAGATAACAAATTAGCTATTCATAATAGTATGTAAAACTACAATACTAAAAGTCATAACCAACAATGAAAAATAAGAAGAGGAAGGAAAAACTCGTAGAAGAATTCTCCGCCTTGCTCCCAATGTGTTCTTGCCTCCCAGGGTGTTGTCTAACCCTAATGTAGTGTCTCCTGCCTCCTTAGGTCTAATTTGTGTCCAAAATATGTCCCCCTCCCTTTCTTGGCCGGCTTCCTTGGTTTAATATAGGGTTTAGGGCTTAAAATCCCGTGTTTTGCACATAAGTCCCTGAAATTTCCGCCTCCTGCCGCGGTTTTGCCGCGGTCGCGGTGGAACCGCGGCCAAACATGCCCTCTGATTCTTCAGTTGTCCGTGACCATCTTCTATCGCGGTTCTGCCGCGGTTGCGGTGGAACCGCGGTTTTTCACCCTGTTCCGTTTGGAATTTGGAAAAACGTAAAACATGAAAGTTGTAGCCCTTTGAGTTAGCTTTCCAACCATATATTGTGGAGCCAAAATGGAGTTCTGAGCAAAAAGTTATGTCTATTTTACTAGACAGTGCGCAATATGCCTCCTCAAGTCTTCGTTCGTACTTAATTATCAAATTTGACCCCCGAACACGATCCCGGCTTAATTCCTTGAGCTTTTACTCAGTCTTCAAAGTTTCAAATCACTTAAATTCATTCCATAACATCTATATAGCTCGGAATCATACCTGCAAGGCATAAAACACACAATTAGTGCAAAACACTAGCGATTAAAGCGCAAATTCAATTAAAGTGCAGTAAATTAGAGTGTAATAAGCGACTAAAATACGTAATTATAGCCTATCATCAACACCCCGCACTTAAACCATTGCTCGTACTCGAGCAATCAAACTACACTTTTTTTTATAGACACGACCTTTCTAAACAATTCTCCTAACTCATCACACCAAGAGTATTTAAAATAGACTAAGCACAAAAGCGTAACATCTTCACCTCAAGATTTGACTCACAAGTACCACACGTTATTCACAACTCACCCACTTACTCTAATATAGAGGTCACTGACATTACCTTTCCTTCATGAATCAAGTGCCCTCACACAACAAAAGAGAGTAGTTCCACACAATAAAATTTACGAACACTTAGGAACTCAAGATAGAAAGAATTCACTCACTCTCAGAAATAACATTCATATGCCACAAAAGATGCACCATAAGCTTGCCCGTAGTGTACTACTCCACTAATCGAGCTCATTCAATCTTGGATCAATTAGGACTTTATTTGGTTGTAATGTAGGCTACGGGACGGGTAGGATACATTTAGATATAAGAGTGACTACACCTCCCTAAGCACTTTAATACATATACTTTAACATTTAAATCCCATACTTATGTCAAACCAAAACTCCACCTTCACATCAATGTATATTACCCCATTCTTCTTTAAGCACACTTACATCAAGAGCCACCACTTATCAAGGAATTTTTTTTTACAAGAATCCAACTATTTTTTTTTTCAATTCAAGTGGCTTTTCCTTTTTCAAAACAGTGCACCTTTCTCCTTATTCAATTAGTTCCACTCAAAAGCCAAACCAACCACCCCACACTTTAACTTTTACAAAGTTCATAACAATTCAAGTGCTCATGAGAGGTTACAATGGTTCAAATAGATGGTTAATTCAAACAAATGGGTAAGGCTTGTAATGTGGTTGCCAAAGAAACAGGATTACAGGCTCAAAGGGGTTAACTACGATACATAATAATTAGGCGGGTAAAATATACATATCTGGCTCAACAAAGAAATGCCTATATCACTTCCTAGACTGAATAAAACTACTATTTCGCTTTGCAAACACACGGGGCAAGTTCTAGGCATCAAATGCAATGCATAGAATATCACGAAACCTTACACACACATGGCACATAACTCACTCAGGATTGGATTCATCAAGACACCCTAGTCAGAGCAGTTAAGCATATTTAAGATCATACAATTTAAGGTACTTATACAAGAGTCAAAAATTGAGCCTAAGCTTCACAGCCAAAGTACTCACTATTCTCAAGGCATAACAAAGTCAAGAGATATTGCTTCATTTCAAAACAAAACACAATGGCTCCTATTCCAAAAAAAAAACTAACTACACCTGGTTCAAATAAAACCCTTGGAAAAGAACCGAGGCACAAAGAAAAACCAAGGGGTAATTATTACACTACCTAACAAAAGAAAATATTTTTTTTAGACTTACTTCCCTCAAGAAAATTGTCTAGTAGATCCGTCGTCGGGAAAAGTCCAATCTTTTTTTTGAAAATTATTATTAAACTAACACAGCTAAAGTAGCATGAAAGTCGCCCAGACGATCTCCTCACCCCACACTTAAAATTTTGCATTGTCCCCAATGCACACCATACATAAAGAGGGTAAAAGAGACTCCCTGGTAGGCCAAAGGCCGAAGCACTATAGCTCATGGGGTACTCAGACTTCTCCCCAGCTTGGTCCTTCGTGCGGGTACCTCACACTTAGTTCCAACCATTTGGTTTGCTGTTGCATTCTTCTAATACCTTTGCTTTCCATGCTCCTAGAAAATAAAAAAATTGACACTACAAAAATAATACAATTAAAATAAATAAAAATTAAAAAAATAAATAAAAGAAAGCAATAAAGCTGGTTGCCTCCCAACAAGCTCTTGATTTAACGTCGCGGCGCGACGTGAATCACTTTCTGCCTCCACTTTGAACTTATGAATCGAACCCAAGTTTTGATTCTGCTCTATGATCATGCTCCTGGGGTGGTGGAACGAATCTGACTGGCCCAATAAAATAATGTAGTATTCTGCACTTTTTGGCCTTTATATGAGGTGTGTAATCCCGAATTTCTGGCAAGAAGAATTCCAGAATGTAAGCACTTTGTTCCTCATTCCTTGACTCCTCAAACGGCTCGGACGACTCTATTTCCATATCATCATCTAAACACAATGTGGAAAAATGCTTGGAGTGAGGACCAATGCGCTCAACTACATGAACATTGGGACTATCTACATTCTTAACACTAATGACAATAGAGTCAACTAAACATGTATCCTCAATATCCTTGGTTGACTCTAGTATCTCTTCTACAACATCGACATCCTCAAAATCTAATGTGATTGATTGTTGGTGTTCTACTCTAGCCTCCTCCTCTCGCTCATCAATTTCTGTATCTAATTCACGCTCTTCTTGGATACTATTCACAATATTGGCTTGTTGAGCATTAAAAACTTCAACCAGTTGACTCATGTGAACTTTCAAGTTGTGAATAGTTCCCTCCTGCCTTTCTATCCGCAGTAGTAATTTACTCTGTTGTTCCAAAATGCACTTTAACATATCTTCGAGCTTCTTTAGGTCAGCTTCCCTAGGTTTTTTTTTCCTATTAACTTCACCAGAAAAACAAGAACCTTCAAAGTAAGGGGTTGGGGAAGGTAAGAAATATAAGCACAACCGTGAAAGTGACCATCTTGACCACCACACATATCACACACATTCCACACATAAGATTGAGTTGGTGCACAAAACTCGCTCTCAGGAATATTTTGATAATTTTGCCCTGGGTGGTTTTCTTCACAATATGCATAAGGAGGATCAAAAGTAGAATTACCAACAACAAAATTCTCATAATTCTATGATGTCATGTTTCTCAAATAAACAAATAAAACTAAAATAATAAAAAAATAAAAAAAATCCAATAATAAAATAAAAGTTCAAACTTGAAACCTAGCAATATGTACACCTACAACTACACCGTTAGTTCCCCGGCAACGG